GCCCACGCTGCCTTGAGGATGCCGGCGATGCCGGCGGTGCCCTCGGTGTGGCCGAGGACGGTCTTGATGGAGCCAACATAGAGCGGATGGCCATCGGCCAGTGCGGATCCCTCGCTAAAGAACGCAGTGCGGATGGCCTCAGCCTCAATGGGGTCGCCCGCTGGTGTCCCCGTTCTATGCGCCTCAAAGTACTGTGGGCAGTCGGCCGCCGCATGGGGGTCCAGCCCGGCCCTCCTGAAGGTGTTGTGAATCGGTGCCCTTTGAGCTGTGGCGCTGGGCATTGTGATGCCAGCCGTGGCGCCATCTTGGCACACGCCTGTCTCTCGTACCAGGCAGTGGATGGCGTCGCCGTCTTGTATGGCCTGGCTGAATGGCTTGAGGACCAAGGCCGCGATGCCATCACCTCGCGCGTCTGTGGACATTCACTCGTTAGCAAGACCCCTAGACTGGATACATGTACGCCGCGGGACCACGGTGACTCACAGTCGTTTGCTTCCTTGTCCCACATGCGGCTGCGTCCGTCGGGCGACAGTATCTTGACCTTGCTCTCCACAATGAAAGGCTCTGACCCGAGAATGAGGTTGGCGCCGCAGGCGACGGCTATCCTGGACTCTCCCGAGCGCAGCGCTTGCACTGCTTGGTGCACGGCAACCAAGCTCGACGAGCACGCCGTGTCGACTGTTATTGACGCGCCGTGCCAGTCAAACAGATACGAGATCCTGTTGGAGAGAATGGCCCTCGACGTGCCCGAGGCATAGTACGTGGGCACATTGTCGAGGTCCCGAAGCAGAATGGCCTCGTACTCGGCACACATCAGCCCGGCAAACACGGCCGTGTCGCTCCCCCGCAGGGCCTCCATGTCCATCCCAGCGTCTTCCAGGGCCTCGTAGACAATCTCGAGGAGCATCCGCTGTTGCGGGTCGATAGCCTTGCTCTCTATGGCGCTGATGCCAAAGAACTCGGCATCGAAGGCAGCGGGGTCCTGGTTCAGGAGATAGGCGTGCTTCATATTGCAGTGCCTATGGTGCGCATGGCTTTGGTGGTAGAAGCCCTCCGCGCAGAAGCGCGTGTCTGGAATCCTACTCTGCACGTCTCTCGGTTCTTTCAGGAGCTCCCATAGCTTCGAAGGGGATGTAGCGTCGCCTGCGAAGCGGCACGAGCTACCGACAATCGCAATGGGCTCCCGTGGAGCGTTTCTTTCAGACATGGTGTTAAGTGAGAATCCCTTTGTATAACGACCTCACTAATGCCTAGTGTCCGTACTCGTCGAGCACGCAGGTCTATATATGATACTGGAAAGC